AATACACATATGTGTAATACACATATGTGTAATACACACAAGTTAATATTTACAAAATTAAAACATAACCTGCTTATGTTATTCCGATATATACCTTTGATATTGTTTTTGTGCTGTATATATTTTCTGTTCTAGCAGGTTAGACCTCTCACACATTCTAAGGTCGAGAAACCTGTGTGGGCGCCCTACCTAAAGGTCTCTCCGAGATGTCTTCACCGTCCATACTTGAAAGTTACAGTGTCAGTAGAATGTATCCAGTGATCTTAAAAACGGACTCAGAATACTGGCATGTTGAGAAGGGCGTGTGGTGCGCGCTTGTGTATATAAGTGGATGCCCGGGTCAGCACCAAGCAGACATCCACTGACCAGCTCCCAGGCTCACGCTCTTCTGTGCTCCATATTCTGCTCATCATGAAGTTCGTAAGTTACTTCCATTATATTTTTAAGTACTTCTGTATATACGATATTTTACTCATATGAAATTCTGATATATCTAAGATGCTTGTTGAAGGTGATGTTGGTGGCACAGGTTGTGTTGATGGCGTGTTGTGTGGTGTGTGTGGTGGGCCGACCACGCCCTCATGATGACCACGAAGTTGATTACGTTCCCATTCTTCTCGACGAGAGGACTCCCATTGACGAACTTGGAGGATATGGCTTCAAGTACGTCTCTCCTGACCTTGTCGTAGTTTCCTGATAGATATTCGCAAATGGCTGGGTTTAACATCTGTTGACTTCACGAGGGCCATTAATGACCGCAGTCCACCCAGTACCAAACATTATCAATGTAAATTTTCGGTTTATACACCCTGAAAGATATATACGTACATCTGAGTATGTCCATTGAAAATGCAGACTTTCTTTTATATTCTTTGGGTATATCTTGAGACACATATACATACACCTCTCTGTGCATATACACTGACAAATACGCACATCTTTGCATGTATACCCTGACAGATTCACACACACTATTCTCTCGGTATATAATCTTGCAAAAGTGATAGAATTTCAGTTACCGTTACTAAAATAATTAAGACATATGTTATATCATCTCAAACAAAAAGAAATATGGTTTGTGTTTAAATTCGTGACGATCTGGATTCAGTTTACATCCTAGTCTGGATCGAACACTTCATTGTGCAACTCTTCCTGCAGGATCCAAACAGGAGACGGGTTGACCTGGGCTGAGACAGCATCACCCAGCGGAGACGACAACGAGATCGTCCGCGTTGGTCAGTACAGGTGAGTTGTAGCAACATTCTGGCTTGTGCCAGGTGTTGGTCAGTGCAGGTGAGCTGTAGCAACATCCTGGCTTGTGCCAGGTGTTGGTCAGTGCAGGTGAGCTGTAGCAACATCCTGGCTTGTGCCAGGTGTTGTTCAGTGCAGGTGAGTTGTAGCAACATCCTGGTTTGTACCAGGTGTTAGTCAGTACAGGTGAGTTGTAGCAACACCCTGGCTTGTACCAGGTATTGGTCAGTGCAGGTGAATTGTAGCAACATCCTGGCTAGTACCAGGTGTTGGTCAGTACAGGTGAGTTGTAGCAACATCCTGGTTAGTGTCAGGTGCTTTCCCGATTTTCTCCTTTAATTTTAATCCATAACCTTTCAGGAAAAAGCCCAATGGTGTGATGTATCACCTAAAACTTGACTTTTGAGAAGCCATCCTTGCGAGGTTCCTCATCCACGAAGTGCAGCTGAGAGACAGTAGTTACTTAGGTACAGTCTATGGAAGCTCCCGCCTGATAAAGGTGACCCAACTATGAGCAGAAACAATATTAGCTTTCAAATATTGTTATTAAAGTAGTGGCACCTTTGCATTCCGTATGACATACTGTAAAAAAATAATTTGTATATGTATATTCAGTAACACAGGTTTTTACCTCTTTGTTGCGTCAATAATTTGGCTATTTGTAAATAATTATGCTTTGGTCTTTATTTAAAGTAAATATTACGAAGCAATCTCCTCGTGCATCACGCAAAGACATGAGCACTACCAGCTGCCAGCTACCAGCTGCCAGCTTCAGGAGTTGGTATCCAAACTGTATTTACATTAGCACATATATATTATCGTCATCATATTAGATGTTTGTACACGATACTGCTCTTGTAGGTTCACTCACCCTGACGGGACACCCCACCTGTTGACCTACACCGCTGGGAAGTTTGGCTTCCGGCCTGTCTCTGACCACCTGCCCACACCCCATCCTCTCGAGCCATGGCACATTGAACAGGTATGACCGTTTATTTTACATTACCATATACAGATTCTATATTACTAACTTATCCTAATACAGAAACAAAGAAATATTTGTACTGCGTAAAAGATAACACGACAAATATTACTATTTTATCCACTTTTGTGTGAATTTGCAGATTGAGTTCGCTAAACGTCAGAAGGAAGCAGAAGAGAGTGAGGAAGCGTGAGCCAGTGTTGTCGTCAGGTGTTATTTACGATTTTGTTATGTTATGTTACCTTTACATCGATTGTTGATATTTTATCTTTGAACTTTACTCGAATAAATAATAAGCTCTTAACTTTGAGTTTTATGAAGACCTACTTCCCGGAACAGGTACCAAGTAATAATGTCTTTATTTCTGCAAGTACATGTACAAGGTATACAGTCCTAGATGACATCAGTGACATACTACTATATAGAAAGTCACTTGTTATGCTGAGCATTTCGGGCAAATTAAGTTAGTTTTGTCCAGGATGCGACCCACACCAGTCCACTAACACCCAGGTACCCATTTTACTGATGGGGATCATAGGCAACCAGTGTAAAGAAACACACCCAATGTTTCTACCCTAGCCGGGAATCGAATCTGGACCTCGCCGTGTGTACATAAGAACATAAGAAAAAAGGAACACTGCAACACGCCTACTGACCCATGCGGAGCAGGTCCATGTTCCACCCCCGGATTAGCCCAATGACCCACCCAGTCTGGTCACCTCCACTCAAGGAAGAAGCACGGCACCAGACCCAGCAGCACAAGCTAGTCAGGTCTAACTCACACCCACCCACACCCACTTGTATTTATCTAACCTATTTTTAAAACTACACAACGTTTTAGCCTGAATAACTGTACTCGAGAGTTTGTTCCACTCATCCACAACTCTGTTACCAAGCCAATGCTTTCCTATATCCTTCCTGAATCTGGATTTTTCCAACTTGAAACTATTGCTGTGAGTCCTGTCTTGGCTGGAAATTTTCAGCACTCTATTTACATCCCCTTTATTTATTCCTGTTTTCTATTTATACACCTCAATCATATCCCCCCTAATTCTACGTCTTTCGAGAGAGTGCAGATTCAGGGCCCTCAGTCTATCCTCATAGGGAAGATTTCTGATACATGGGATCATCTTTGTCATCCTCCTCTGTACGTTTTCCAGAGCATTTATATCCATTGTAATACGGTGACCAGAACTGAGCAGCATGGTCTAAATGAGGCCTAACCAAGGATATATAGAGTTGAAGAACAACCTGAGGACTTCTATTATTTATACCTCTAGATATGAAGCCAAGAATTCTGTTAGCTTTATTGTGAACACTAATGCACTGTTGTCTTGGTTTTAGATTACTGCTAACCAGAATTCCTAAATCTTTTTTGCAATTAGTAGTATTAAGATCTACATTATTTACTTTATATGTCGCATGGTTATTTTCCTACCCAACACTGACCCCTGAGGAACACCGCTTGTGACGTTCACCCATTCAGATTTCTCCCCATTCATGCAAACTCTATGCTGTCTATTTGTCAGCTATGCCTCTACCCAGGAAAAAATTTCTCCTCCTATTCCGTGTGCCTTAAATTTTCTCAATAGCCTCTTATGTGGAACTCTATCGAAAAACCTTACTGAAGTCCATGTACACAATATCATATTCATTACCATGATCTACCTCCTCAAACACCTTAGTGAAAAATGTTAGTAAATTCGTAAGACAGGAACGCCCAATTGAAAAGCCGTGTTGAGATTCATTAATCAATCTGTGTCTGTCAAGATGGCTACGAATTGCTTCGGCAATTATTGATTCCATAAATTTCCCCACTATGGAGGTGAGGCTTATTGGTCTATAATTTGAAGCCTTGTAAATAGGTATTACATTTGCCATTTTCCATTTATCAGGCACTATGTCAGTTTGTAGTGATATGTTAAAAAGATTAGGAAAAGGTATGCTAAGTTCCTCTTTACATTCCTTTAACACCCTTGCAAACAGTTCATCAGGACCTGGGGATTTGTTAGGTTTTAGTTTCTCTATTTGTCTGAGGACCATGTCACTAGTTACCGCAATCGTACATAGATTATTATCCTGTTCTATATAATCTATTATTTCAGGAATATCGCTAGTATTTTCCTGGGTGAAAACAGAGGAAGTAGGTATTGAGAATTTCACACATATCTCTATCACTGTCAGTGATCTGACCAGAGTTACTTTTAAGTGGGCCAAGCTTGTCCCTAATCTTACTTCTGTATACCTGAAAGAACCCTTTTGGGTTAGTCTTTGAATCTCTTGCGACCTAAGTCTCATAATCCCTTTTTGCTTTTCTTATTCCTTTCTTTATTTCTCTCTTTAATTGAATATATTGATTTCTTAACTGCCCATCCCGTCTTTTGATACGCCTATATATGCCTCTCTTTTGATCGATGAGATGTTTTAATCTATTGTTCATCCATTTGGGATCATTTTAGTTAGATCTAGTTTAAGACAATTTAAATTTTCTCTGACTTACATCGCCACTCCACCATCCTTCCTGTTGACCCTATCAGTGTGGAATAGTTTATAATCCTGTATGTTGCACTCAGATGGCATTTCTTTATCTTTCAGGTTGAACCAGGTCTCTGTTTTACCAATAATATCTATATTACCTGCACTTGCAAGTAATCTTAGCTCATCTATCTTATTTCTTAGACTCTTACTATTTTTATAGTAAACTTTAAGGGAGCTAGTCACTCGTTGCACTCTACTATCTCTCTTTGTTTGTTGATCAATTGATTTGTCATTACTAGCAACTTTATTTTGAATATTGTCTTCTAAACATATCCCTGAGGTATCCCGGTAATAACTGCTGTTTGTAACCCTAATACTGCAGCCTGATTGTTTCCCACAAACACTCATACCTCTATAATCTATCAGTTTAAATTCCTAGACAAGTCATCAATTACCCTCTCAATTGAATTGGGTAATGCAACCACTCCATCCCCAGAGAGATGAACCCCATCCCTTGCATACATATCACGTTTACCAAAGAATAGGTCCCAGTTATCAATGAATAGGATTGCAAGTTTCTTGCAGTACCTGTCTAGCCAGCAATTTATACCAATTGCTCTAGACATCCATTCATTGCCCACTCCCTTTCTAGGCAAGATGCTACATATGACACGGATCCCTCCGATAGACCTAACTACTTCTATGGCTGACCTGTACTTATCCAGCAGCTCCTGTCTCCTGCCCTTCCCAATGTCATTACCCCAAGCACTAAGACAGATAATGAGCTTGTTCCCATTAACTGACATAATATTATCCAACCTGCTGACTATGACACCAACACCATCACCTGGAAGGCACACTCTCTGTCTGACCTTTCTGTCTCTGTTACAAAAAGCACGGTCCATATATCTTACCTGAGAATCTCCTACTATTAAAATATTCTTACCTGGGTGTTAGTCGACTGGTGTGGGTCGCATCCTGGGACACTGACCTAATTTGCCTGACATGCGGAGCATAACAAGGGGCTTTCTATATAGTAGTATGTCATTGTTGTCAGCTAGGCCTGTATACCATGTACATGTACTTGTAGTAAATAAAGATATTATAATTATTATTATTATTGTTATTATTATTATTATTATTATTATTATTATTATTATTATTATTATTATTATTATTATTATTATTATTATTAACTGTGAACCACTTGTCACTTAAAGCGGCTGCCAGTATCACTGATAGTGACCATTTCCTCCTTACCAGCTAAATCCTTCTCACACTCATTCCCAAACTCATCTAGGCAAAGCTTCAGCCTCCTATTTTCCTCCTGAAGTAGAACCTCCTTCTTCAACACTTGAACCTGAGATTCTAAAACACTACAACAAGCCATGGTAGTTGGTAACACCCCACGCTAACTCCCAGAGCTTAGGACAGGTATGACCGCAGGTGACCACTGACCTCAGCGAGAGCTTTAGCCACCAAGCCATGGTGCACCATAAGTAGCACCCGGACATCTTTGACTAGTGATCACAAGAAAGTGCTTCTTGACAAGATGTTGTTGCAACTTTTACTTTGCATATTCAAGATCCTAACAATTTAATCATTAATTTACTGCAGTTAATATTAGGTATTGCATGTATATTTCCTTTGTTGCTGTATCACTATCTCAGTGGTATAACCCGCGAATTTTAAGTGCAAACAGAAGAAAGATTATTAATGAAAGTAAAGGTCGCCAAAAACCGTGTGTGTATATAAAAACAATGTATATGAAGGACTATGAAAGCCAGTAAACAGGAAGGATGGAAAACGTCCCTCATGATAAAAACGGTAAAGTGGAGTAAATAGAATAAATTCGGAAAACAGAGAGCAAGAGACTAATTGGCCATACTGAGAAAGACTAGCTTTAATTAGTTGCTTATAATGTAATCCAAATAGCTGAGACAGAATGATATAGCAGTAGTCTCTTTCCACAAGTCATTTAATCAAACATGTTACAATTCCAACTTGGAAGATTATATGTAAGCTGTTTCAGTGACGATTAGAAAAATATGGAAAACCATTTAATAGGAAAAGTAGAGTTGAAACATACCTTCGATAACTATTGCTATTATTCATACAGCTACTGCTTATGTTTGAACAGTATTGTGCTCTGAGTGTTCCATGGTCAACCTATCGTCCTGAGATATTCCATGATATAATACCTGGGTTATGTAGTCGAATCCGATGCTTGCACTGTGCTTGTAGTTTTTTTTTTTTCACTTTCTACTTCAGTGCGCAACCCATTATAATGATATTTACTCTGCAAAACTTATTTTAGCCGCATTTGTGTTGCACCTCTTGCCTCGTAGTTAAATACTATTATTTATGGTTATTGAATTAGTTTGCATTTTAAGTAGTTATTTGCTTATGAGAGTATCAAGTAGTGTCTTCAATTCCTTATTGTGAATAAATTAAGCCTCTTTAAACTCTCTTCATATGGTGTGTTTATGAAGCTACGAACTTTCTCGCCTTTAAGGTATTTAAGTTGTTATTTGTTAAGGCATTACTTTCACTGTTCTTTTTGCAACTAAAATTTCTATTAATCATTCTACAAATTTTGCTACTCCCAGATACATACTGTGAAGTCTACCTAAGATTGTTATCATTACTCCTCCTTCCTGGTCTACTTTTTTTGTATCAACTAGTTTCTTTATTAACATTATATATTCATATTTAAGACTGTTATCTCCATAATTCATTACTTTGCCTTTGTCAACAATGAAACTCACAGTCGCTGCACATCCTCACCA